CAACAGGGAGTGCACCTCTGCCTTCATAAAGCGAACCCTCGAGGTGTCACCTCCGCTTCTCCCAAGCACATGAGCCCACGGGCTCGCTCCCCACTTTCTCTGTGATTTCACAGCCCCAGCGACGTGTGCCCCAAACCAAAATCCGTTCCGGGACCAACCGCGCGGATTCCCTTTTGTCGAGGGCATGTCGGCAGGACTGACGTCACATGAAGCCAGATGAAAATCTAAACTTTCTAAGTGTCACCTGGTGAACCCGTCGAGCAGATGTTCACACGCGATGTGTAAAGCATCATCCTGGGTCCTGTGACACGCCTGTTCGGGTGTTCGTTTCGGTTTGGTTTTTAACCTCTCTAGCATTTGTCTGTTGCTGATGAAGTGTGTAACACTGGAATGTAGCGGAAGCGGAGGCGCCTTGCAGACTCGGGGTTGGTCAGCGTTTGTTTTGTCCGCGAGCCGCGCGTGCGTGCGGGCGCCGTGTTTGAGGTGCAGGGGGAGGCGGCTGACCTCGGGCATCCTGGTTTTGTTTCTTCCTTACTGACCGATCCGCATTTTGTCTGCTCTTTAACTCACTTCCTAAATCTTAGAGGAAGGGGACAGTAACTTACCAGCATGATGGAGTGGACAGAAGTCGCAGCCGCCTGTGACATCTATTTTTCATGCTGGGTTATTTCCAGAAAAATATACGTTTGTGACAAATGGAAATGACCAGTTTTTAATATTGGAAGAGGTTTTGTTAACGTCCTGTGGCGTTCCCTCTCGTAGAGATACCCACGTCTACGTATCTCTGTCTTTTCCATACCTACAGTGGAAGCTTCCGTGCAGCGCGGTAGCCGTGAGTGGCAAACCCGCACATGCACCTGACTCGAGGGTCCCGATCTCCTGTGGGCAGGCGTCGCCGGGCGGACCCGGCAGGTCAGCTGGCTGCCCCAGAGAGCAGGGGCGCTGCGGCCGTGGGTCTCGGTGGGGATCTCACGCCGGGGCGGTTCCATCGTCGGCGGCCGGCACACGTCCAGTGTTGGGGGCTTATCGCCCCCAAGGCCTCCTGTTTCCCGGAAAGCTCACACTCTCTGCAGTATTTTCTCGTGTTCTCGTGTTAAACCAAAATCCGCCTTCCTGTAACTTTTGCTCTAGATATGTCCTTCGCGGCTACTCACATGAACCTGAAACCTTTTCCATGACTCTGTGCCCTCGGCTGGGTGGAGCCCGCCACCAGGCCCGCGTTTCCTTCTCGCCGTGAGAAGCTGTGGGCCTAGTGGCTTTCCCCATCCCCCGGCGACCTCCAGGTCCCACGGAGCCTCAACCGTCTGGTGACCGGTCCTCGCCATGCGCTCCGCAGCACGTCCGCCGGGGCTTCCGATGCGCGCCGTCTCGTGCGGAGCCATTGACAGCGATGCGCGTCCCACGCAGTGACTTGCGTTTGAAGGCGTGCGGGGGCTTTGTCCATGCATGTTACCGGCCCGGCTTCTCCCCGCAGTGGGTTCCCGGGACGCTGAGTCTGGCTCCTGTCCCCCGCAGGCTACCTGAACGTGCTGTCCAACAGCCGCTGGCGTGAGCGCTGGTGCAGAGTCCGGGGTAACAAGCTGGTTCTCCACAAGGACAGGACCGACCTGAAGACCCACATCGCCTCCATTCCCCTCCGAGGCTGCGAGGTGATCCCCGGGTTGGATTCCAGACACCCACTGACGTTCCGACTGCTTCGCAACGGACAGGAGGTGGCCGTGCTGGAGGTGGGTGGCCTTCGGCCCAGAAGCGCCTCTTATGCCTGTGCTGACGGCGTGTCCAGTGAGTCGTGCCCTTTCCTCTCACTCGGCCCGTTCGTTCACCTCTGCTTTCTGTGCTGTCGCCCCCCTTTCCGAGGGGTTGGAGATCACAGGTGCCAGGGCCGACTGCGCCCCAGTTGCTGACCGTGCAGCACACGGTGCTACGGAGAGAAGGCCCGGCCCAGATGGGCCTTCTTCCCTCAGCTTCACGTGTCTGTAAACACGTGTGTTCGCACACACGGGTGTCCGTAGACACGCATGGCGGCTAGCATCGGCTGCTCGGGAAGCCCTTCCGCAGGCCGAAGCCGGCAGGGCGGGTGGCCGTGGCAGGCGGCTGGAAACGTGAACGAGGACGCCCTGCTCTCGGTGTAAAACGGCGCAGGGCTCCTCCGAGAGCGCTGGCCGTGGACCTGAGAGGGAGCAGGGACGAGGAGGCGCGAGCTGGCGGAGCGAAGAGCCCACCCGCACCTGCGCCTGATGCCTGGCGGAGGCGTGGGGGAGGCGGCGTGGGGGAGGCGCAGGGCAGGGACAGGGGGCTTGATGAGGAAGCTGCCTGTGCTCCGGCACTGCAGGGGCCCCAAGTCCTCCAAAGAGAGGGCGTGTCCCACTGCCCTCCTCCGTCCCCCAGGCAGTAAATGATGCACACAGCATCCGCCATCGGCAAAACATTCTGAAAGTATTTTTATTCGTATTTATTTCTTCTTTGACATTCAGTTAACTTACCCATTTGGTAGCTCAATGTCCCCTAAACTTTGAGCGTTGTTTACATATTTAGTTAATCAAACTCATTTAGATATTTTATCTGCCATTATACATGTGGCATAATTTATTTTCTAAGTCACGTAACAAGAATGACTTAAATTTAATGAACCGAATCTTCAAGATGTATTTCAGATTTGCAAGTTAAGCAGACCAAATTCAGGGCTGGGGAGCATTTAAGTGTGTTTAAAAATAGCACGCACGAAGCAGCCCCACGATGGGGAAACACTGCACCTGTATAAACACGACCGATGTAAAAGAATTTTATACCATCTCATCAAGGGAGGTAAAATTGCCACTTCAGGCCCTCTCAGGAGACAGCACCGCGGGCTGAGGTCAGCAGAGTTCGAGACCAGCAGCGCAGGCCCCGCGAGGCTTTCCAGGCCCAGAGTAGTTGCAGAGGCCTCTTTTTCTGGCCAGATTTTGTTGCCAAATGAATGAGGCTTTCTAAACAATCCCCTTAGCTGAGAGTTAACTAATCACATTCATTTCGGTGTCTTCCACTGTAGTGCCTCAGCCAAAGTAATCAGAAGGCATTTTAGGACCTCGGATTGTATTTCCTTGGGTGTAGTCATCATGCAGCCTCGCGTCAGGGCTCAGCGTGAATGCAGCGTTGACCACGTGGCCTAGGCAGCAAGGACACCTCCCCTCCCGTTCATGCTCCTTCCGTGTCCCCTCCTGTCCTGGTATGCGGTCCTGGTTTTGACACGTTTATGAAAACGTGAAAGCTCTTTACCGTTAGTTAAACAAAGTGCGCTTTCTTCTGCTTTACCGCAACAGGCGGCGTCTTCGGAGGACATGGGCAGATGGATCGGTATTTTGCTGGCCGAGACGGGGTCCTCGGCAGACCCCGGGGCGCTGCACTATGATTACATAGACGTGGAGCTGTCCGCGAACGTCATCCAGACAGCCAAGCAGGCCTTCTGGTAAGGGCCCTCGCCACGGGAACGGCACCCACCTGGAACGACTCTATGTTTTCCCTATTTTTTTTTTTATTTTTTAGTGAGTCTGTAGCCTCAGGGGAAAAACAACTGAAGATTTTTTTTGTTGTTTTACATTAATCTAAACTTTGGTGAAATATTTGTACTTTTAACCGTCTGTGCTTTCTGTCAGAATAGAGGTTGGCAAACTTTGTAAAAGGTAAGATAGTAAATGTTTTTGGCTTCGTGGGCCAGACATTCCCTGTTGAACTACTCGGCTCTGCCATTGCAGCCACAGACAGAGCATAAATGAGAGGGCGTGACTGTGTTCTAATAAAACTTTATTTGCAAACACAGGCAGTGGGCCAGATGTGGCCTGTGGGCTGTAGTTTGCTGACCCCTGTGTTAGGGGAACAGTTCTGTGAAACAGAACTGATTCTACATGTTGTGGTTATAAGGACTGAGCTTCAAAGCCATCCATCCATCATTTACTTTGCAAATTTTAATTGTGATTTTTTTTTTTTTTTTAAAGACTGTTATATACAAACTCATTCTTTTGAACCACGGATTTTTTTTTTTTTTTAACGTATCGATGGCAAAGATCATTACAGCCGCGGACTCCTGGGGGTATGGAAGACCCTCTCGGGCTGTCCCTGCTGACGCTCATTCGGAGACATCGTTTTCCTTCTCGGTTGTGCCGATGCCTCAGCGGTGCCAGACCAGTGGTGGGCACACCCTCACGGCAGTCACGGCGTGGGGCTGCGGTCATTGTGTTCGCCACCGCCACACACTTGCAGTAAACAAAAATGCTGGATCCGTATACGATGTCCCTGAGGGAGCACTAAAGTGATTACTTCTTCTGTAAAAGTCGTAGAATGAATGCTTATTTAATGCTTGGCCAGGATATTTCGGAGCTAAGTCAGTAAAGATACCTCTGGCCCACATTCGAATTCAGGCCACGCATTGTCCCCAGCTAGGGTAAGTGGCCTGGACGGAGCAAATCAGTCTTGTTCAAATTTGCCAGAGAATCTCCAGTAAGTGAGAGGTTTTCCAGAGTATAAACTGCCTCTTTTTACCACATGTCTTTCGTGAAAATCACGACGACATACATAGTCAAGAACTGGCTGTTCTGTTTTATGGTTATTATTTTTCCGTAATAACATTCTATTTAATCAGCAAAATGCAGGTAAATTACGACTCTCCTAGTCATTCATTAACCAAAGCACATATATATAAAGTGGCTTTAAAGAAATGTAACATCCATAAATTGGGTTTTACAAAATCTACATATCCAGAGTGACATACAAGAAGAGTTTATGGTTGTTAACTGGTTACTTGGAAGTTACGAGGTTTTCAAAAGCCTCTCTTGAGTCCACATGTAACTTCAGGTGTAATCAGCAAACTGCTAACCACATTTAAGACAAACCCTGAGTAAAAATATTTCTCCTAGAACACTCTTGGCTTCTGCTTTCTAAATGAGTGGAATATCAATCTAAACCAAATGTGAGGTCACATTTTTGAGAAAGGAATGTAGATCGCAATATTGGAAAATTGTTTATTAAAAATACGCACGTAATGGGTTTATGGCTGCAAGGACATTTGCTACCTCATTACAATCTTTATACGTAGGCGTCAGTTAGCAAAAGTTTATTTTCACGTTTCAGTGTTCTAGCTAAATATTCTTGTAAAACTTGAGAGGACGTTTTAACAAAGAAACAATGTGCAAAATATGAAATATGGTAGGTTGCCAGTGTAATAAATAGTCTAAGATTAAATTAACTTTTTGCTTTTATGCAGATTGGCAGCCAGTTAATGAATCTGTTCAAGGTCGTGAGGGGAAGTGTCTGCGCATTGGCCATGTCTCGGGGAGAAAGGGCAGTGATATGTTTTAGCAGACAGACAGTAAAAGAAAAAAGTAGTAATTTAAATTCCCCCAGGAAAAGTGGCACATATGAATAATGGCAAACTGTTAAAACACATTTTCCAGAGGCCTGTTTTTAAATGAGATATATAGACTATATGATACAAAAGCAAGTTCTTAATTTTTCTCCTGAAACTCTTCTCGAGCCAAGCTCGGCTGGAGAGCCATGGGAAGCCGTGGAAATGAGGAAGGCGACAAGCAGTGGGTCAGTGTGGACAAGCAGTGGGGAGTAGACAAACCGATAGGAAGCCGTCATCTCGAGTCACCTCATCTGAATTCCTGAGAGATGTAAAACGTATTTCCTTAAAACATGGACGTGTCATGAGGACATGATGCTCGGTGAAATAAGCCAGTCACGAGAGGATTAATACTGTACGATTCCCCTGACAGGAGGTACTAGAGTGGGCAGATCCATAGCCCAGAAAGTAGGATGGAGGCCGCGAGGGGCTGCGGGAGGGGCAGTCAGTGTTTGGGTCGGAGGTTCCGTTTGGGAAGCCAAAGTTCTGGAGCTCGGCGGCGGAAACAGTTACACGGCCCTGCGAACGCACGCAGCGCCGCCGAGCTGTGCACTTGACAGTGGTTGTGACAGTGAATTTCGTTACGTGTGTTTTAACCACAGTGTATGTGTTTCCTGTGAGTGACTTGTGTTTTGGGTCGGACAATTGGCGCGCAGTCTCTCATCTCATTTCTGCTGCTCAGTTTGGCCGAACGCCCTGTCGTAGAAAGAGCAGCAGGCGGAGACAGGAATCTGGCACCTAGTCATGGCCCCACTCACTCCTCAGGGCCCGAGACTTGTTCGGGGCCCAGGTCCCTCTCTGTAAGATGGGGGCTAGGCCACACTGCACGGTGGCTCAGGGCCCCTCCAGCTGGGACGTCCTATGTGCCCATGACCTCTCCCTCTTAGGACCGTGAGTCAGAAGCGTCCTGCTGGTGTCTCTTCCGTGCAGGGAAGCTTCTGGCCTGCCCCCTCACGGTCCCCGCTCCTTCCTGGCTTCTGTGCAGTGACGTGAGTTCTAGGCACAGTGCTGGGACCCGAGAAACACTGCAAGCACTGGACAGAACCTGCCTGAGGGGTTCTGTCTCCTGGGAGGAGGGCGGCGCGTACAGAGGCCCCACACGTGTTCACTGCCACGACAGAGCCGGTCAGCACCGTGCAGGGGGCGGCGCACGCGGCCGCGGTCTCACATTCATTCCGGTTACTGCCCATCACCGACAAAACGCACGCACTGTGCCTTACCCCAGATTCCCCAAAGGAGACATTCAAACTAGAACACCTTAAATACATGTTGACAAACAAATCAAAAACCTCCTGTCATTATGGAGCTCTGAAATGTTTAAACTTTAATTTTTTCTTGTATTTTTTTCCTGTGTAAACGTTCGTGTAATTTAAATATAGAAAGGTTGTATACATTTTTTATCAGAACAAAGCCAGAGTTGTTTTATACGTTAAAAAGGTAACCTGCTCTGGGCCGGGCTGCACCGCCACCTTCCCCCGGCAGGGGGCAGTAGCCGGAAGCCTCCGTGCCGGTCGCCGGTGCGGGGCCGGGACTGAGCCCTGGAACTCCTCGCGTGTCTGCTGCCGCAGAGCCGCTTGGCTTTGGCGCGAGGCCCGTCAGAGGCAGCTCTACTTTCCTGTCTGCCCTCACGTGTTTGCATTTACTCTTCTCTATCCATCTAGTTACCGTAGAAATGTAAGATCCTAGAAAGGAACAAAATTTGAAAAAAACTATGTTTTGAAATTCCAGATTGTTTTAGTTCACCCGTTGGGAGAAAATGCTATCTCGGTGATTTCTTCCCCGGGCATTCAATCTTTTACTTAAAACCAACGCGACTTCGTGAGTAAAGCGCTCAGGCATTCCCTGTTCAGCGCGTATTTGTCGAGCGCCTTCTGTGTGCCGGCCATTGTCCCGGACACGGATCTGGGGACGAGCAGGACTGACCCGGGCCTGTCGCCCCGTAGCTGACCCTCTGGCGGGCACAGACAGACTGGCCGTGCAGTCGCGTGTGCGTGGTGGTCGGGAGTAGGAGGGGAAGTGGGGCAGGCAGCGCCGTGGAGGCCGGGGGGGCGCTGTTTGCTTGGGGCGCTCAGGGCAGGCCTCTCGATGAAGTAATGTCCCCCGAGGCAGCAGGAAGTGACGGGCCCTGGGAGAGGCCCAGAGGCAGGGGGCCCTTGGTGAGAGAGCCACCAGGGAGGCCGTGCCGGCCACGGCAGCGCTCTGGGTGTTCGCCAAGCCGTGTCAGGAGCCACCGAAGGTTTTGGACAGGGGTGACGTGGTCGGCCTGACTGCTGGAAGGTCACACTGGCCGCTGTCAGGGCTCTCAGACGGTCAGTAGAGGAGGGCAGCAGGGAAGGTGACGCTAAGTGAACCCCGAGAACTTGAGAAACGCTGTTGAATAAACCTCTAAAGAGCTTAGGGGTCCGTGAACTTTCCCAAAAAAGGCCATACAGTAAATATTTCAGTTTCGCAGGCCACATGGTCTCTGACTTTGATGACAAGTCCGTGAAAGGCGTATAAAAACCTTGGAAGCCGCCCAGGCAGTGCGTCAAGGCAGAGGCAAGGCCACGGGCAGCAGCAGCCCCTGCTGTGGACGGCCGGTCGGTGTGGTGGTTCCTTATCGAATAAGGAACAGTTAGCACTAGGCCCTGTGCTCTGTTCCCAGCATGCGTTGCCAGCAGCCCCTGTCACACTCCTGCAGGGCCGCGGGATCCCGTGTTGTAGGTGAGGCGTGTGACCCGACCGCTCCGGCACTTCCAGGCGGCGATACTGCTCCTGGCCTCCCGGGGCCTCCGCCGGAGCCCGAGCGGCAGGTCAGAAGTCCCGCAGGACTCGCTGTCCGCTGGAGTGTCTAACCCGTGTCCTGTCTTTCAGCTTCATGAACAGGCGAGTCATATCTGCGAACCCCTACCTCGGGGGGGCCTCCAACGGCTACGCCCACCCCAGTGGGACAGCGCTGCACTATGACGACGTCCCCTGTGTGAACGGCTCGGTGAGTGCGCCATGCCTGCAGGGCGAGCGGAGGCCGGGGCTAGGCCAGAGGGGCCGAGCGTTCCTGGGTTTGGTACCCCCAGTTTCAGTCCAGATGCGAGGGGCGAGAGAAGTCCGTCCCCTCTCTCCTGTCCTTGTCTCTGACAAGCCAGTCGTCTGAATCTGCTTCGACACCAGCAGACAGCTTGTCATTCAGCGTCAGTGCCGTTGTTAAGGATTCTGGCACTCCTGAATGCTGACGAAGGGACAGCGCATTAGGGTCTGTCACGTGGACGGATCGAGACGTGACACAGTGTGAGCTGTCGGTGAATCGCATTTCCTGGTGTGACAAAAACGTTGGGAAGTCACCATCAGAACGCAGATGTCGCCACAGAGCGTGGACTCGGAGGACTGGGACCCTGGCCGCCGTCCGGCGCTGGGCACGTAGCACATAGACATAGCGTGGCTTTTAAGTGCTGAAACTAGCGTCCAGGGTCTGTTTGGCCTCAAGAGTTTTTTGATGTGTCCTCAGTATTGTGTGTCTTACGTGTAATCGTTTGCTTTACGATGCCTGCACACGATTCAGGCAGCAGTCGTGTAGTGAGCCCCTTCCCTCGCCAGGCACGTGCCCATCTCCTGGGCACTCAAAGGCGAGGGCTCAGGCGGAGCCGGGAGCCTGTTGCCTTCCTAGGGGTGGCGAGGGGGTCGAGGGCCCCCAGAGGGCGGGAGCGCAGGCTGACGGACAGGCTGTGTGCCGGGGGCCTTCCGCCTGCCCTGGGGCTCCCGCCTGGGGGGCAGTGTGTCCAGGGCCCCTCGATTCTCTAAGGGCTGTCTCTGCATCACAGAGAGCTCCCCCCACCCCCTTCCTTCCCTCCTCTCTCACCCCGCACCCTCTCCCTCCTCCCTTATTTTCCGACGGTTCCCCGGTGCCCAGACTCTGCTAGGGACTGAAAACGAAGTGGACGAGACCCC